GGGGGGGGGACAGGGAGGGTGAGGGAGGGAGAGTTTGGACGGACTACTGCACTGAGTGTGTTGTTGTTAAGTGCTCTTTGATGCATGCTGTCTGAAATTCTGCTTTGACAGAGACCGGTGCTCAAGCACACGTGGAGACGTTGGTTGAGTGAGACAGTCGCATAAAGCTTGCACACACACCTCACTCTCTACACACAGACATGAACGCACGCGCGTCTGTCTTTCGTCTCATCTCATCTTCTGCTGTGCCTTGACGCCGCCCCGGCTCACGGGTCCATCGGCTAGCTGCTCACATGACCGATGGAGTGGTGACCCTGAGGTCCGTCAGGCACACTCGGGTCGTCCATCAAACCGGGCTCCCAAACTCCTCATCACGTCTCTTGCTTCGTCCAGTGGATGGATCTATCTGTCTAGTCTTGACTCCACCAGCTGTCCGTCAGGCCGCAGGCAAAAGGCCTCCATCTCGCCCAACACCAACCCGCTCGCCTACACACACACAGGATAACAACCACAGCAACAGACAGACAGACAGACAGTACCCCCATTGGATGGATGCATGGATGTGTGTGTGCATGTGCCCGCGACCCACATACATACCAGTTCGACGCCCTGTTGGTCATCCTGCCGCTCGGCCTCGGCGAAGGCACATGGCGGGGTGGTGTGTGTGGCGACGTCGTCCTGCTCCTCCTGTTGCCCAGCTGCATGGCCGCCCAGCTGCCTCCTTCGCAGCTGTCCCAGGTGGATCAGATACACGTGGTGGCTGTTGCGGCCGGTCCGTCGACGAGTGGCCATCCGACTGCACCCGACACGCATACACACATGCGTCGATGAGGTGCCATTATTGGATCTCATGTCAGTGCACTGCGTGTTGTCCTCACCGAGCAAACGTCTCCAGGACAAGGATGCGACCGCACAGCAGGCCGAAATGGGACACCTGTTGAGGCAGCCAAAGGCATATGAGAACTGCGGGAGCTCTCCACTGTCTGCCTCTCTCTCTGACCTTTCCCTGAATTCCAACGAGCGGTAGTCGAATGACTGCTGTGGGCAGCACGCCGTCCTCACGGATCATCCGCTGCCAGGGGGGCAGCCCACCCCGCCACCCCGTCCACTTGAGCCGTATCTCTTCGCAAGACGTCGGCCCCTCCTGCTGCGTGCCCTCGTGTTCGACGGACGCCTCCCTCTCCCACGCAACGACCCCCTCGTCGGCGTACAGGCGGCTGACGGCCGTCCCGTCACCCACTACCAGCTGTGTGTATCCGCACCCTCCCTCTTGCCGTGATGTCGATGTGGCTGGTGTGTGGGGTGAAAGCCGCCATGTGTGGATGTTGCCGAGGTCATCTGAGGCAATGACGTGATGCGCACTGAGCTCCACGTCCGTCAGCATGGTGTCGCGCGGGAGGGCCAGACGAGAGATGCGCCGGGCGCGCTGGACGTCCCAAATGTCGATATGCGCCGTCGTGGAAGCAGCCGTGCTCCCCTCCTGCTGCTGCTGCAGCTGCATGGTGCCCAGCTCGCTGGTGTCCCATTGCGTGGACCACACGGCCAGATAGACAGACGGCGGAAAGGCGCAATTTGTCAGCTTGAACGACTGACACCGATCAGTCAGATGATGGTCCTCTTCGCCATCCCTCCTGGTGCTGCCCTGCTGCATCAGTTGTGAGAGCATCGCGGCGGCCGTGCTGGCGGGAGACGGCGCAGGGTGCGGTGGCAAGCTGGTGGTGGATAGGGGAAGGGCGAATGTGGGCGCGCCTGTGTTGGCGTTGAGGACGAAGCAGTGGTCGGACCTGCTGGTGGTGCAGGCGAACACTGGGGGAGAGGGAGGGGACGCCTCCTGCAGGTTCAGGAAGACGAAGTACTGGACAAAAGGGCCGAACGACCACCTTAGCTCAGAGCCGTCAAGCGCCCAGACCTGACACGCGCACAGACACACATATTGGAAGCATGCCCGTGTGCAGACAGATGTACGTACCTCTTTCCATGTGGCCATATCGTCATCTCCACTAGAATCGGTCTGCTCGACCGTCACGGTGAGCACCAAGCTCTCGATGACAGGGAAGATCTCCACATCACGGACCTTCCTCTCCACTTTCTCTGGTGCATCCCCTCTTGCAGACCGATAGACCCACTCCCGCGCCGTGCCATCCCTGAGATTCTCCACCAGCACATCCAGCCGCTCGGTGTCCACAAAGCAGCACAGGGACGACCGCACGTCGAACAAGCCCTTCTGTGCCCGTGACACCAGTCGTGAGCGGGCGTCGCCGTCGTGCCTGACCATCACGGGCGCCACGCCATCTCTCGCCTTGCTCATTGTCGAGTAGCACACGCGGCATACGTCCATCCACGAGGGCGCGGCGCCCCGCTGCAGCCCCTCGTAGGCGTGCATCATCGACGGGTCAGCGCTTAATCCGTCGTTGATGTAGAGAGGGCGGATGATGGCGCGTTCGGGTGTTTGCTGGACGTGCTGGTGCCATGGAGAGCAGACGCACACCATGTTCCTCAGGTCTGTGAGGGCAGCGGGGCCGGGGAGAGAGAGGATGATCTCGGTCAGCGGCGCTGGAGGCAGACCTTCCCACATCAGTCAACGGTGAGATCTGTAGCCAGGCGAAAATGAGGGATTAACTTACGATGACTTTGCATGTCCTCGGGCGCCCAGAAAAGACGTACAAAGATCGTGAAGTTGCAGGGTTCTAAACCCTTGAACCCCAGCCCTGAATTCATTGTCTTCATGATTCGGCGCGAGGATTCGGATAGCAGCGACGACAGCGATGCCCCCTTCTTCTGGAGAGTGATCGGCCGCCAACGCGATGACAGCAGCGAGGAGGAAGATGTCCCAGTTCGCTGCCCACTCTCCCACAGCGAGGTAGCAGAGGTGGAGGGAGCTGGCGGAGATGCGGCCAAGGGAGGCAGTTCCCCGGAGCTCGACGGCGGTGGCGGCGAAGACGAGGATGGAAGGAGTGCGGGGCCGCGTGATCGCCGTCAGTATCTGCCGAGCATCACCGAGTGGAACAAAGAACGCAAGCAACTGGCACTGCAGTGAGCGGCACACGAAAAGATGATGGGTAGCAACGGCGTATATGGTACAAAGTTGTGAATGGGATCATGTCCGGTGAATGTGTGCACTGCAGGGAGTATGTCTGCGCGCAGGACGTGAGGCGCCATTTGGCACAACCCAAGCTCCTCGACGCCGCACTGGTGCGTGCGGGGCTGAAAGATACCGAATGGATCCATACGCTGTACACGTCGTGTGTCTTTCTTCTCTTCCAACAGGGAGAGGATCTGCTCAGGGAGGATGAGGACCTGACAGCTGCACGGCGACAGGTACTTACTGCAGGGCCCGCGGAGAAATCCACAATGAGCACACCACTCCGCTGTCCCGTTCGTTGCATGTGCGCGTGTGTGCAGTGGGAGAGTCATTTGTGGGGTCAGATATCTTGTCTGAAGGAGCAGGTGGGCGGACTCATCGACCGGTGGACTGTCGAAGAGCAGCAGCAGCGGGAGCAACTCAAACACACCACCGAACAGGTCAATACCAGACGATTTGTGACGCATGCTTGAGTGATGCCCGACACGTGTGGGTGGGTGCAGTCGCTGGCCACCTTCAAAGAGGTGGCAAGACAGGAGTTCGACATACTCGCCAAAGAGGAGGTGGCACTGCGCAAACAAGAGGCGCCCTCACACATGTATGTATGATGCACGTCCGCGTGTCCGATTGCAGGCAGCACTGTCCGCCGGTCTGAAGGACCTGAGCCGCCGCGTCCACAGCTGGACTGACGGGCCCCCCACGCCGCACAGCAGCAGACCACGGCCATCACGACCTGCATCCGCGAGGCAAGGCAACCGCACAGAACATGCTGCAGCACACCAGAAGAAGACATTCCTTCCGCCCTTGCTGTTTGTTGCAGGGTGCGAGGTTCCTCGTTGTCGCATCGCAACTCTGGCGACCTTGGTCCGTCACAGGGCACGCTGACATCGACGGCGGCTCGTCTGCGGCTGTGGCGAGAGCAGTCTGAGCACCCCAGGAGCAGGGGAAGGAGGAAGGCACTGTCCATCAAGGACCAGTTAGAGCAAGGTCGGCAGCACCAGGCAGCGGGCATCACAGCGCCATGGTGCGTATCCTGTTTCCTTGCTGTTGGTTTGCAGCATTGGCGTGCCTGGAGGGCGTGAAGGAGGAGCTGAGGGGCGTTGACAAGGAGATTGAAACCAAGGGCGGCATACTGGTGTGTTACGAATAACCCACCCGCACCACACACAAACATGAGTGTGTTGAAATGAAATATGCAGGGTGGCTGGAGAGAGGATGACCACCAGATCTTCCTGAAGGTCAAGACCGCCTGCCGTGACCACATACACACACAGGTACATCCATCCATCCATCCACCTTCATGGCCGCCATATCTCCGTTTCTGCAGTCTTTCATGGACCGGCTGCTCTTGTCGCTTCCCAGTCGGACTCGCGAGGAGGCCGCGGCGCACATTGAGTGGTACGACCACTTCGCCATCCTGCAGGCGGAGCGGCGGCTGCTCATACAGAAGTGGCGGTCCCTCAAGCAGCAGATACACAGGCACCAGAGTAGACTGCAGCACAGCGAGGAGGCCAAAGACCCGCTGCTCGATGACATGCACGTACACACAACACAGGCGGACGGGGTGCCACATGGGTGATCAAGTCAAGTCGATGTGTGTTTCCTTCCCTTCCTTCAGCTGACGCCAGCGGAGGAGCGCTATCGCAGAGAAAAGCAGGAGGCAAGCTAAGCTCGATGGATGTATCAGAAGAGTCCGAACGAAGATGGCCATGTGTTTCTGCCTTTCTGTCTGTGTTGCCCTGTGAATGGCTGGCAGGAGAGAGAGAGTCGCCAACAGGAGGCCAAGAGGCGGAGAGTGCAGGAGTGGAGACACATGAAAAGTGAGCTCTTCAAGTGGAGCCAGCCAGTCCATCTCTTGGCAACCCCACACCATGTATACCGTGGGCATCAGACAGACACAACTGATGTGTGTGTGTATGCTTCAGATACGGAGGAGGCCCAGCGTCGCGAGGAGGAGGAGAAGCGGAGAAAGGAGGAACAGCGCAGACACAAACTGCGCTCTCGGAGGTAATGCATGTGATGAGAGAGACTGCAGACGGAGAGACCAACATACTTGACTTGCTCATTTGGCTGGCGTCTGCACACATGCGTGTCTCTCTGTCTGTCTGTCTGTCTGTCTGTCTGCAGGGAAGCGGAAGAGCGGCGAGTGCTCCTGCGGGCCATCTACCACCACAAACAACAACAGCAGTACATCCAGCAGGTCAGTCACCAGCCAGACACACAGACAGAGACACACGAAGGCAGGCCAAGGGATGATGTAACATGTCGTGTCCCAGCTGGCTGATGCCGCCAAGGCGACCATGAGGCCCACACTAACTGCCGAGGACAGACAGCGACTGAGGGATCGCGAGCAACAGTGAGTTGGTTGAATCCCTCCCGCATCATTTGGCCCACCCTATAGATATGTCACCCACATCTTACCTATCAGGTTGTTTGAGCGTCGTTTGCGTGACGTAGAGGAGCTCCGGCGGCGCTCACAGTCGCAGGCCGCCAGCCCCCACCAGGGCCGGTCGGTCAGTGCGAGATACGCACACATCGACGCCAGACTTCTCGACGACACAGGTAGGTACAATTGTGAATGAATGGATGGATCCATCCATCCGTGTGGGCGGCTTGGCGTCAGTCAGTAAGCCATTGTTCTGCCTGCCTGTCTGCCCACCATCATGATGCAGAGTCCCATGCGTCTCGTCTCGTGACGATCCAGATTGAGCGGGAGGAGCGCATGGGAATGCGGCCGTCGGCCCACACAGCAACGTGAGCAACCGAACGCAAATTAAGTGCACCCATCACCCGCCGGTGTCTCCCCGTATCTCTCTCTGTGTGCAGGATCGCGGGCAGCTTCGGCCACCGTCTGCCCGAGACCACTCGCCGTGTGCGGGCGACGCCCTCCTGGCGCAATGTCGCGGCCGCTGCAAACTCGATGCAGTGACTGAGTGACTGACTGACTGACTGACACAGACCGGGAGACAGGACGGGAGGTCTACCGATGTGCCGTGACGGGGCAGCTGCATGTCGACAACTGGCGTGCCCAGGGACTCGTGAGCATGTGATGTGCACATGATGTGTGTGAATGAATGGAGTGGGGTCAAACACCTCAACCTCGATTGGTCTGACACACGCCACATCGGCAGAAAAGAGCTGACTGAAAGGATGAATCACTAGCTAGCTGCAGATGTCGCATCCCGTGCGATCGATGCTGTGCGTGCCGTGTGTCTGTACGTCCGTCCGTCCGTCCGTCGTGCACTCACTGACTGACACGGATGTTCGGTCATGATATGCTGCAGGTCAGTCAAGTCGTGGGTATTGCAATCATTGACTGATCGAGTGGTCAATGGTATGGATGTCTCGCTTCGGAGAAAGTATGTAGCGCTGCGTCCCCTCTCCCCGGTTCATAAAAGAGCCTGCCTGTGATGTGCGTGCGTGTTGTCGTGTCTTTCCTTCCCCCCGGCCATGCAGCCCAACCCGAAACACATATACATCTTCCCCTTTATCACTCCTGCCGTCCCTCCCTTCCGGCCCCGCCCCCTCATTAGTTAATTAAGGCATGCCGGTGCCGTGTGTGCCGACACAGAAGCTCAGCGACCGCAGCCACAGACGGCCCTCAGCACCACCGACACCACCCGCACCATCGCCCCCCGCCGCCCTGCCCATGTCACGCTCTGTGTGTGGGGCAGCTGGGCGACGGCTGCCGGTGGCCCTGGCGCGTACGGGAGTGGTCGAACGAGACCTGACACAACACCACAAAGACCCGCCGCACAGCACACACACGTGTGGGTGGGTGGCTGAGCGGTTTGCCATGGCCGTGAGTGGTAACTGACCTTTTCAGCTGTGTGATGGGGGCTGGGTCTTCCGAGTGCATCACGGAAGCAGGCGGCTCACTCGGCAGCACCGCAGGCAATGCTGGAATAGACGGCAAGGCTGACCAACACACACACACACACACACATTGTACACTCGCATGCCAGGATGCACCTTGGCCACCGCACCGTTCATCGGCGTCTTATCGTTCCGTTGGGGGCCCGTCAACTCAGCTATGGTGGAGATGGTCTCTGAGAAGAGCGTACACAGGTGACGTAAAGAGCATGGCTCTCGATTCATTGTCCCTGCCACTCCCTACGTGTGTGTTTGTGGCTTCTGTCGGTGAGGGGCCAGGCGGCCATGTGGGTGGTGCTGGTGCCCCGCAGCTGTGCGTGCAGAGCCTCCTTGAGCAACTGATTCTCCTGGACGAGGGCATCGTTCTTGCGCACCTGCACACACATACGAGCCATCCATCCATCAGGTGTGTGGGTGGGTCCTCTGTGGGATTGTGTACCAGCTCTTGGTCGGATTCTCTGCGCTTGTCCTTGCGCAGCAGCATCTCGTAGATCTCACACCGCTCGCGCATCTCATCCTGACAACACACACACACACACACACAAACACACAATGCACACACACGCACAGTACCACCACACACAGCATGGACTGCCGCCCCGTTCCACTCCCTGCCTCACCATAGCTGCCTGCCATGCCTCCCAGCCGTCCGTGAGTATGTCCGCCTGCACACCCACCCCCACACACGCCTTCGCAGCCACACGCACTATCGACGCACCGCCACCGAGGCGAGCTGCGGTTAGGGGCGGCGTCAGAGGACTCTTGGTCGGTGAGGCGTCCTTCTGGTGCGCTGTGGTCGTGAAGAGTCGGCCGGGGAGAGAGCCGCGATCGCCCATAATGTCAGGGATGGCGAAGGGCCGGGTGTCTTTGAGAGTCCTGACACACACACACACACACACAGAGAGAGAGAGAGAGGGATGCATGGGTGTGGATGTTGGGTCTGTTGGTTGATGGTGTTGGTGTGTACTTGATCTCGTCCTGGAGGCTCTTCTCCTTCTGCAGCCACTTGTCCTGGAGGCGCTTCTCCTTCTGCAGCCACTCCTTCTCTGACCGACAATTAATGACACCCAGAATGCGTCCATGGGTGGGCGGGTGTTGTGAGTGTGCTGATACGTGAATGCCTACCCTCCCTGTCGCGCTCTCGTTTGCTATCATTGTCGACCTTCTCGGCACCATCAGTCCGTCCGCGATGGTAGATCAACACACGCTCTGTGTCCGTCATCTGCTTGGCCTTATCGAGCTCGTCGTGCAGGGCTTGGTTCTCCTGACGTAGGGTCGAGTGCACACACAGGTCTCATTCTGCTGTTGATGCACACTTGCGTACCTTTCTCAGCCTTTGGCCGGTGTCCTCGCTGCGGCGTATGGCGTCACCCCTCTCCCTCAGGGCGGCCCGCAGCTGCTGCACACGCGACTCCTTGGCAGCCAACTTGGCAGCGCTGCATGAGTGGATGGATACACAGACACATGGATGGATGGAGAATGAGGAGGGGCGCGGTGCGTACCATGTGTGTTGCAGCTCCTTGTACCATCTGTCCTTGGTATCCAGCTGCCGCTTCAACTCCGCGATCTGATGAGTGACGCACACACACACACACACACACGCACACATCAGCACACACACAGCACAAAGCATCAACACACGTGGCCACAGTCGTCATGCCCACCTGTACATAGGCCTGTTCCCGCGCCTCCTTCTCGGCCGCCTTGCTCAGCTCATGATCCCTCGCCAAGTCCGCACACCGCCCCGCCTCCATCTGCGCCGCCCTCTCACGCTCGGCGCGATGCATCTCTGTCAGATCCTGCGTCGGCGGCAGATCATCCCGCCGCACCGACTGCACCCACGGCATCCTCTTCTCCCCCTCCCTCGCCCTGTCCATGCTCGGCCCCCCACCGCTGCCGGCCTCATGACCACGACCATGCAGCAGCGAGCCCTGCGACGGTGCCTCGGCCATTTGCCGCTGCTGATGCTGCTGCTGCTGCTGATGGTACTGGCCACCGTGGCTCACAACTCCATGATGATAGCGGATAGGTAAGGGAGATACGTTATGGCGCTGGACGGCGTTGCGCATGGGGGAGGGGTTGACTGGGATGAACGACGAGTGGGGCGGGGGCGAGGCTACGGCCATGTTTGAGTAGGGAATGAAGGCGGGAGGGGTGACGTGGCGACCTGCAATGGATAACGACGAATCCAGTGAGAAACGCATGTGCATCCACTGTGCGTCTGGTGGGTGAGGCTGCTTACCATCCCGAGGCGTGTTTGGCGAAGGCAAGTGACCTGCCACCATCGTAAAAGGACAACGTCAGTCACGTGCATTTGATGGATGCATCCGCAGAGGAGCTCCTCATCTAGTACTTGATGCGATGTATTCCCTCCCGCGCATGAGCCCGACAAAAAAGGAAAGCGCGACTTTCGCTAGGGTTCCCCAACCCTAGACCCCGAGCCTGGTCGAACGAATCGCTTTCAAGTGGATCATCCTGGCTCTTCATCTCCAGATGCAGCAACAGCAACAGCAGGAGCAGGAGCAGCATCCCTTCTCGTATATCTTCGTTGGCCGCCGCACCTTCTACGTCTTCAGCAGCATCAAGGACATCGTGCGGCTGAGGGCCACCTGCACATGGCTCAGAGAACTCTTCGGAGCGGCGCAGCTGCGAGATCGGCTTCGCCACTCTGTCGGCTCAGTAAGCCCAGCGAGCAGCAGCAGCACCCCGTGTCATACCTATGTGTCGGCCGGAGGAGCCGCTACCTCCTCAGCATCAAGGACATCGTGCGGCTGAGGGCCACCTGCACCTGGCTGAGAGAGCTCTTCGGAGCGGCACAGCTGAGAGATCGGCTCAGCCACTCGCTGGGCTTACAGGCGGGGCTGCGGCGGGTGGTCAACGGGCAGCAAGTGCAGCTGCTGCGGTTCGACGACGACCACTTCGGCACATATGATCTGCTGGCGGCTGTGTGTGTGATGGAGGAGGGGAGCTGGGTGGAGATCGGCGAGATCATTGATTGGGCGGGGCAGTGCGGCAACTGTGACCTGCCGGTGACCCTCATGGCAGATGACATCAACACACACGGCGACAAGACGGTAAGACACACACACACAGGGGGTGGGAGAGAACAGAGAGGCCTCATCCATTCCCTCTGTGTCTGTCTGTGTGTGTGTGGTCCTGCGTGTAGGCGTATAGTTCGGTAGCTCGTGTGTTGGCGCAGCTGATGGTGGTCGGCCGCCACGTTGTTGGCCTGCAGATCTTCGGCCATGCCAACGGTGAGGTGCGGGCCATCGTCAACCCGCCCCTCCCTCCCCACCATCTGTATCAGCGGCACCGCATTCAGCATGACCCACCAGTGGCCAGCGACCTGTGCGAGTATGCGTCTCTGTCGTCGTTGGCCAAGTGCAACATCCTCAGCCTCTTCGCCTGCACTCACCAGCCCAATCGCACATTGACTAGACTCTACAGGTAACACATCAATGGCATCAGTGGGTGAGGGTGTGTGTGTTTGATTGTGTGTGTGTGTGTGTGGTTGGTTCAGGCGTGTTGGTGGCGGCCGTCTGGATGGCCTCCTCAACCAGTCGCCCCACACACCAGTGGCCGGCTGCACCACCACACTCAGCTGTCACGGCAATGTGCGGTGGCTGGTGCTCACCAACAGCAGCGACCCCTTCGTCGCATGGATTACCATGACGGATCGAAACAACCTCAGTCAGGCCGGCAGATAGACGGCTCTGCTCGTCAAATGTTATCACTGTTTTTCTCTTTCTGACTGTCTGCAGTGAGTGTTGCTGTCATGACGACCGAGGCGCCCGTGGCGTGTGAGAGCAGTGCCTTCAAGGACCGCTTCCCCGTCACCACTCAGCTGGCCCGTGTGACTCTGGGGCGAATGGCGCCATACGTCTTCGACGGACAAGTAGACGATGACAGCGACGATGACAGCGACGGTGCGGTCAGGGGAGGGAGGGACACACACATGGTGGCGATGGATGGATGGATGGATGGATGGATGGCATTTTGTCTCTGTCTGTCTTTTTGTATGGTGTAGATTTCGACGGCCATGGCGGCGGTTGGGATGATATGGACGACGACAGCAACGGAGAGGGCGGCGGAGGTATACGGGAAGGTCAATCCGCATCACTTAGACGTCTGTGTGTGCCCGGGGATGGTAGGTGAGGATGCATTTGCCGACGAGGGGAATGGGGACTGATCAATCCAACCAGTCCATCAATACCGGGACACCACAGGTACACACGCCACATGGTGCCGCCGAACTTTCTGTCTGTATGCCATATGCGTCTGTGTTTGTCTTGGCAGAGTGTCTAGATAGCTGTCTGCAGCTGCTGGCTGCCCGAATCGACTCATGGCTGTCTGTAACAGAGAGAAGTCGTATATCACCTTCTCTGTAGAGAGACCAGCTGACACATGGATGACTCAATGGCTGTGGGTGGGCGACCTGTCTGCCTTGCTCCATCCATGTGCACTTCCCTCCCTCCCTCCCTCTCTCCCTCCCTCTCCTCCTCTCTGTGTTGAAACTTATGTGTCCTGCTGGCTGGCTTCGTGCCTGGCTGGGTTCGAGTGTGTTGTGCTCCACTGCTGGCCGGTTTTGACCTTACGCCTCGGCCTCTGTGTGTGTGTGTGTGTGTGTGTGTGAGGCCTGTCTGCCTGACCCGCTGCCTGGGTGATTCACATGGAGTGAGACCTTCTTACATGGTATTAACGGCACACATACCACCCTCCAGGTTTCTCCCACACCAGTTGGCCAACGAGCTGCATTGGGCTGACTGCCCGGCTGTGTCTGTGTGTGTGATGGTGTGGATGGACAGAAATCAACACAGGTGTACACACTCCAACATTCCTTGGCTGCCGTGTCCATCTGTTTTTGCCCCTCCCTCCCTCTCCGTCTGGACGGCTGAGCGGTCGGTGCTTTTGGTGGGCTGATGATTGACATCTTCTCTCTCTCTGAATGGCACAGACAGATGTGACACAGACAGACAGACAGACAAACAGACAGGCCGATCGACGCACCACACACACGTTCTTTGTTTGTCCATCCATTGATCCACCTGCGACGCATTGTTTGCTCCATGCACACACACATCATACATCACACGTACGTGGCAGTGTGTGTTTCACAGTCGTGGTCCATCCACTCACACCATCACATCAGACGGACAGACAGACAGACAGACCGACAGGCCGCTTCGATGCAGTCAGTTGGTTTTGCCTACTTGTTGGTTCCCTGGGGCTGTGTGCGGCTCCTGCATGGCACATCCGGTCATGTATCTGTAAGCATACGCAGCAGCACACCCTGCTTGGTCTGCGTGTGTGTGTCGCTCCAGCATGGGCGTCCCCCTGTGTTCCCTTTTTAGGCATGTGGCTGCACTTCCCGCATCACCCATATGTTTCCGTGCGCTCCATTATTCAGGCGGCGGAGCCTCACGAATGGACTCCGTATGTCTTTGAAAGATCCATGCACGCGCGTGAAAATCAGTGACCCAAAACACATGATCCAGCTCACGTTCGCAAAGCCTGCCTGCCTGTCTGCGTGTCTCGCATGTGTGTTCAGTCAGTCAGTCATCAAAGTGTCCCTGTTCGTACACTGGCCCCGATGCTCGTGCAGAAAACTGCTGGCGACAGACGGGGCAGAGCCGCTGACTCTTGTCAGGCAACGCCTTCAGTGACTCGAAACAACCTGAACGAAGCAATGCACACACAGCCTTATCGCCAGCCTTATCGCTTCCCGTGTCCTTCCTGCCTGCCTCCCTGGGTTCTCACACGTACCCTTGCAGAGGCATTTGTGTCGACACGGCATGAGCACGACGTCATTTCGCTCGGCAAAACACGCAATGCACCATGTCTCGCTCCGCTTGGCCTTTTCTCTCTCATCTTCGAGTTGCTGCTGAATCTCCTGGATCTTGATTGCCGTCGCCTTCTCGTGTTTGCGCAGCTATTCGGCCGCCTCCCTCTCCCTGGCCGCCTTGGCGTCCTCGATCCGGCGCTCGACGTCACGCTGGAAGTGGGCATTCTCCAGGCGTTTCAGGTGCTCTGTGGCTAGCTTTGTCAGCTCCACGAGACGCTGGCTCTCCCGCAGGGCAGTCTGCTGGAAGGAAGCTACATCCTCGGGTGACTTGAGGGCGTGGAGCTTGGCCTTGGTCAATCTGAAAGACAAAGGAAGGGACCGTGATGTGTCTGTGTCTCTCTGTGTCTCCGTGTATTTGTGTGTAGTGCATCGCGAGCAGCTGTCATCTACCGGCTTTCTTCGCGTTGTTTGAGCTCGCTGTTCTGGTCACTTAGACCACAGAGCCGCATCGCGGTCACCTCGCGGCGTGTCACAGCTTTCCCAACCTCACAGGCCAGCCTGAAGCAGCAGCGTGCAGTCAATGCAAGGAAAGAGCACGTGATCATTGAGTCGCTCACCTGGCGATGTCCTGATTGATATTCTCCAGCTTTTGCGAGGCCATCGCGCACTGGTCAGGGATGTCAAGATCGCTGCTCTCCAGGTCCTCAAGCCACGCGACGGGAACGGCTGCAGCCGGCTGGATGGATGGCGGACGGATGACAGGGGAGGGAGTCCGAGCTGCAGGACCAGCTGATGTCGCGTTGGCTGCATTGGGGCCCTTGGTGAGGTGCAGAGCTCGCTGCAAGCACTCGCCGATGACTGACTGCAGTTCATTGTAGCGGCCGTCTATAACGCTCTGGAACAGCTTGACGTCGTCAGCGGAGGCCTTGAGGGCCAGCTCGTCAACACTTAGGCTGAATGAAGGCATAAAAGGAGCATTGATGTGTGTGGGATTGGTGTGGGCCCATGTCTCGTGCGTGTGTGTACATGGGATTGGCCATCTCGAGTTGCTCGTTTTCTTGGATCAGCCGCTGCTCCTTGGCTTCAGCCTCGTCAGCCATGCCCACCTCTATTTCCAACTTGCGCTCCAGCCTGAGTGATAAATACACTCAGCCTCTCGGTGAGGAAGGCTTTGATTGTCATGCATTCCTACCCCTTCTTCTGCGACTCGGCTGCGATGGCATCCGCTTTGATGGCATCCCATTGATTCGCGGCCGCCTGCATCGATGCGACGATCGCCTTCTGCTCATCAGCAGCAGCGCTGCAGACAGACAAATGAGCATACGCGTGCCGGGTGTTCGGAAATAAAAGGTCAATCCTTACTTGCCAGAACGGAAGGTGCCAGAACGGGCCGACTCGGGATGGAAAGAAGACCTGAAAGGAAAGAAACGGCAGACGTGGAACAGCCAGATGATCCCGGCCACAGATCATGAGCTGTTTGCTGCTCTATCTATGGTTACGAGCTTGAGGGCTGCATCGATGGCACATCCTCATCGGCCAGTCTTTTGTTCTTCTTCTTGCCTCTCCTGGTCTTGCGCCATCGCGACTGGCTACCAGGCAGCCTGGAAACGACAAGAAAGAGCTGGCTGTAGAGTCCTCTTGCAGCCAATCAATGCCTTACTCGTCCGCGACAGTTGCGTCCCTAGAAGGGCTGCTAGGTGACTCATCCTCGCACATGTCGCCGCGGCATTCCTCGCTTCCTTTCTCTCCCGCGTTAGGTGGACAGTGCGGCGACGCATCCTCCGGCCCCCTGTTTTTTCCATACCCTCTCTAACCTTGCGGCTCTCTTTGCGAGCGACGTCAAGAGCCGTCAAACCCCAATCGTTGACAACCTCGGGGTCGACTCCTCGTTTAAGCAACCACCCGATCATGCCAGACCAGCCATAACGAGCCGCGAGGTGAAGCAGCGAGTTGCCCTTGTGGTCTCGGCAGTGCAGACTGAGGATGGGCCCCTGTCTCCTCCCTCCCCTTTTCTTGCCGGTGCCGCGCGTCAGTCCTCGCGCCTCCAGGACGTCGAGGACGGCCACTGCACGTGACTGCATCCTCTGGTTGTCGAAGGTTCCTGGTCCAGTCTCAACCGTTATGGGGATGGGATTCTTCTTGCTGCCAAAGGGCTCGTCATCGCCCTCATCTTTCTGCTGATCTTCTGGGTGGGAAGTGCCACCCTTGTCGGGGCACTTGCCCTTGCTGGCGGCGTTCTTCCGCCCATTCCTTTTGCTCTGGGGACCTGCACCGCATAGGGAGACACGAAGTGCCTATCTGCGCATCGATGGTGGTCGATTGACTGACTTGTGTGCACTAATTCGATTGCTGACCTTCTGAGTCCTTTTTGCGGTATTTTGGTACCACTAAGGGCGCCCCGATGCAAATGAGCTGCAGAAGGTTCAAACTATCGGCCGAAGACCGGACCCCTGATCGATTCATCATGGAATCACTAGTGGAATGCGTGTGGTGAAACGGACACGTTTCATTTGCGCGTACCTTTGGATTGCGGAGATGCAGATGCTGCCTGCACCTCAAAGCGGTCTGTGGGATCGACCTGCGGCAACTCCAAGAGATAATCCAGAATCTCTGCGGACTGCCACATGGCGGCAGCGGCTGAACAGCAACAGATGATACAACGTACTAGGTTATTAATTCGCGGGACATTCTCGTAGATACCGACGGCGGTTGTTTCCAAGCGCAACTTAGTCGAGCGCTGATCCACCGTATGCTTCTCGTTGACGTTAGCGTTCCACTCGACCAACGTCTGCACGCCAGCAGCCATCCAATCGTATTTGTCCACCCCTTTGTACGGTATGCGAAGGTCACCTTGACGACATTTAGGACAGAGTGAGCAGGCAGATACTCGCAGGGCGATCTCGAAATCGCCTGGATCAATATGGGCGCCCCGGAGTGCAGCATCGAATCTGTCACGTTAAGGCATGGAGAACAAGCAAGTGAAGGCCAGCCACGCACCAGCCCCCTCCGTCTTACAGATATCGACAAAAGGCTCGCCCTCGAAGCACTCGGCATGACGAGGGCAGAGCTCAGACCAGCTGAGGACCGTGCCATACCGCGTTCGTATCTGCCCGACGAAGAGCTCCTCATACGCATTTCTCCAGACTGCTGGGCTGATGAGCTTCTCCTGCAGCAGGGCCTCGAGCGAATGGAAGGACGCATTCACGACACACGAATGAAGGGCTTGCTTGAAGAGGACGCCGTCCATGAAGGAGAGACGGGGGATGAACGGCTTGGGCAACGCAGAAGCGAGAAGCGCATGGTCTTCTACCAAGTCGAGCTCGTCGACAGGCGTGCGCTGCTCTTGTGGGGCCAATTGATCGTACGCGCACAGCTCTCTCATTGCCCTCGCCATTGCTTTCGTTTTCCCCTCTTCACAGTAGGCAGCGGCACCGGCGCGCTTTTCTCTCTCCTCGCTGAGAATGCGCCTGTACAGCCTCTGCATCTGCTCCCGCGTCGGCGTGGAATAGGAAGACGCCTTCTTTGATCGTGCAGCGGGCTTGCCATCGCCAAGAAAGACATCTCTCACGGTCTCCCGCAGCTCTTTGACCTCTTTTCGGTCTGTCTCTGGTGCCGGCAGAAGCGTTCGATTGTCTTGATCGATGTGGAACCAGTAGAATGTGCTGCCTTGAAGAGCCTTGTCCACGAGCGTCTTGAAGCAGTCGACCTCGACCATATCCTCAGCTCCACTGTCCAAGTACACGAACTTGCGGCTGTCTCCTTCGTGAATCTCTCCAAGTGCATCGCAAAGCAGGTTGACCGCCCCGTTGGGCTCTTTCGCCTCTTCGGCTTTCAATATTGAGACTGACACGTCAAGGACTTTTGGTGGAAAAGACATAGTCCTCCACGAGGCACTGCAAGAAGCAATGAAGGTGCTGAAGAGGAGATGTGTCTACACTTACTTGTCTTTGTGGCCGTGTCTGTTCCAAGAAATGTCTCCAACTACGAGGCTCAGCTCGGCGGGCTCATCTTGACGATCTGGATGTACCGACACCGCGACAAGCACATCGTACAATCGACAATGCGTGACGAGCGATCGCATGCACGCTGCTTCCGGGTTTCCGCGTACCTGCGTCGCTCCCTCCATCGTTTGCCTCCCCAGCAGGGGGCGACTGTGGTGCTGCTCCTTCCCCTGCGACACTGCCCGGCATCATCGACGCCTGAGCCTCAGGACGCCCTCCCTCTAAAGACCGTTCATCAGGCTCCTGACAGACATGAAGGATCTTGTGTCCCGCCTACGCAGAGCATTCTTTTGCCTACCTCGTGGTTGTTCTCGCCAGAGCGAGTCGGTTCCTCCATCGTCGCGCGCGAGGAGAAGCGAGCAAGAAGCGAGAGAATCGCAGGCTCCGCCCCCTTGGGGGCAGGGCAGTCTCAAGCGCGCAATATCCGCCTCGCAGCAAGGCCCAAAACTGCCGGCCATCAAGACATGCCTTGTTGCCAAGGCGCTCGGGGTGGCCGCCTTGGACGGCTCGTGCACGCTTCGGGCGGGAGCAAGATGAAGTCAGCCAGTCCCAACCAAGGCACCGACACGTCTCATGGAGTCTCAGGGGAGATCGGGGTGGTGCTCAACGTGAAGGACGTCACGCCGAAAAAGGTTCGCATGTGCGCACGCGTCTGTGCACACGTGCCGGACCGATGTATGCATGTTGTATCCGATAGTGAAGAATGCCATTGATCACAAATATGAGCAATTCATTGTAGCTCCATCAACACACACACCAACACACACGATAGATAATGTGCAGACATGTACAGTACACCACTCACCCACGACTGGCACCCAATACACAGACATCCCTGGCTGTCCCTCTCTAGATCTCTCTCACTCTGATTGTCTCTCGCCACTCAGCCACCCAAAGATGCACTGAGGAAAACAAGGAGATGAAGGACATGTAGGACCAGAAGCCGGTGGCAAAAGGAGCAAGAGAGAAGAAATCTGCACTCGATCCCCGAACACACAGAGAAGGAGAGAGACAGCATGCCGAAATGTATGAGCAATGAGTCAATGACCGACAGAGGCATCAATCAAAGAGACGCAGACACATCAATGCATTCAATGCACACAGGCGGGTAGATAAGTAACCCTTATACTCAACGCACTCTCACACGCAGTTTCATGCATTCACATCACGGCGAGTAGTAGTGTGGGTGAGTGTCTCGTCTGAGCGCATCGATCACTTCATGCCCTTGCGTCGATATTTGTGCCGGCATTTGAAAATGCGACACATAATTCCCCGACACGGACCTGCGGCGGACGTCGACGCCGCGCATCGTTGGAGATCCCTCATCCTCGTCTGTCTCATCTCCTGGGCTCTCGCTGTAGCCGAGCTGCACTCACACACAGCGCAGTGCCACACGGACCGACCGAGACACGGTGTGCATGTACCCACCCGCGAGACGGTTGCCGTCTTTGATGTGCGTGGCTGGGATCTGCGCCGCCCCTGTGGTACCTCGTCGTCCTCGTCAACCGTCTCTTTGAGTGGAATGGGCTGAGGGCCGTTTGGCGCCGACTGAGGCCGATCAACCAGCTCTCGTGACCGCCTGGCCGCCTCCCTTGCAGAACCGGCAAACGCTGTCGCACGCCGCGATGACGACGCAGAGTCGGCAGAGAAGTGCACACCATGCTTGTGGCTTGGTTCCGTAGGCGACTCTGTGGCCGATATGCTCTCGGCCGACTCCATGATGGTCATCTTCTTGGTGGCCCTGGCAACTTGTTCCGGCGTGATAGTGACGGATTGGTGCATCGGCGGCCGCGTCTGCATGGCGTCCTCCTCGTCGTCAGTGTCGTAGGTCAGCGGCTTGACGCGAGACGATGGCTCCTGCGGATGGGCTCTGCAGGCAGCACAGCCACAGTAAGTAAGTCGCCAATATCACATTAATTAGTGTGTGCTGAATTGAATTGGTCCGTGTGGTCTGCATGTGACCTTCTTCTGAGTTCCAGGACGGTCTTGAGCGTGAAATTGAAATTGCTGGGCAGCGGCAAAACGACCGCCCCACCCTCCCTGAGGCACACACACACGCACAAAAGGATACAGCCCATGTCTAACACAGGTGCTGATATCCACCCAAGCCCACTCACTCTTTGATTTGTATTGCCCTTTCGAGCGTCTCTTTCTCCTTTTTCCACTGCTCATAGTTGGCCTCGCCCTGCACCTGCAGCTCGCGAAGGGCGGGCAGCAGGGCTGCGAGACTGCGCCACTGCGGCAGGGCGACGTACTCGACGAAGCCGATCTGCATCTTGGTCCTGGCGAGCTCGTCCCTCGCGTCCATGAAGGTGGTGATGGGAATGTTCTCGGCCCTCTCGCGGTCCACCTGGCCATTGAATTCCTCGACGATGAGCCCCGCCCACTTCATGTAGAAAGGTTCGGGCATCACTGGGTTGTTGACGTCAGCTGAGTGGAGGATGGACTCGACCAGCAGCAGACGATCAGAGTTGTTCTGCACGCTGATCGGGTCATCTGCACACACACCCTGGGTCTTGTCTTGCCGTTGTGGTCTGTCTGGAGCACTGCTCACCTGACGAGGCCCTGTCTTTGAGTTTGGTGAGCTTCTTGATGTGGTAGGCCATGTCGGTTGCCAGCACGGCAGCTATGAAGGTCTTACGGAAGTCCAACCTGCCCAATTGGACATGGAGACATAATCAAGGGCCTTCCCCAATTTGGTGCTCGCTGTCAGATCGGCCTGCCTCTGTTCCTCGGTCAGGCTGATACGGAAATCACACGTTGGATTGGCTGTCAGCAGCCTGCGGCAAGGACAGTGAGCATGGTGATAAGTGGATGGACGCGCGTTTATGCCGTGTCGTGTGCCCCTACTTGAATGTGTGGGCGCAATGGTGGTTCTCCAGCACAGACTGGTCGTTGTACGTCAACGCCTGAAACAGTCGATGCACACAAACAGGATATGTGTGTCTCTGTCTCTGCGTATGTTGGCAGGCAGGCTGACCAGGTCGTCTTGTGCGGCGATGAGAAAGGTGTTGTTGACGCCTCGGTGGTCAATGTCGTGACACAAGGCTGCACACCAAAAGAGAGGGATATCCAGACAGGCACCATGCCATGGTTACCTGCGATGAGGAGTGTGAACTGGTCCAGCTCAGTGAGGTGCTCCCGGCAACCATACTTATACAGGACCAGAAAGCACGACTGAAACACACGCAGAAAAAGTGACCATATCAGCCCCAGCTGCATGTTTGTCACGTCTGTCTGTCCAGACCTGGAAGACGTGCACTGCATGGTACATGTTGTGGAAGGGGTTCGTCAGATGATACGATGAGCTTAATACAGACAGAGCGAGAGGGAAGCTTTGCACTCTTGTTCATGGCTCTCCCTCTTCTTGTGCTCCCTTTCCCTGCTCACTCGACGCGGTGGAAGAATTCCTTCAGGGAGACCGTCCGCAGCGAGAAATATGTCACAAGTCCAAGACGAACGAGGCCGTCCGCGAAAAACTGGGCCATGGCCGACGTCGAGTAGTCCCATATGTCCAGACTCCAGCTCATCCACGGCTGCAACCGACTGTTCAATGCCTCATCCTACAAACATGCGCAAAACGGCACGCAGTGGGGTGAAAGCGACTGTAAAGGAAACCACCCGGGATGTTTTCATTCTCGACCTCTTCCTCCTCTTGTTCTTCATATTCCGCCTCCTCGGCGAACGCCTCCAGGCCGTCTCTCTTCTCGGCGCACGGCACGCTAAGGCCCCTTTCCCTGTCGACCACTCGATCCGCCTTGTCGCGGGACCTCCTGTGGCCGACAACCCCGTCGCCATCGGACAATGCGGGTGACGCAGGCACCTTGACGGCGCCCACGTCAGTTGTCTGGAACCGGCGCGGACGCATGGTGTTGCGGCGCTGGGTTGGCGGGGGATGGTGGGACTTGCTGAAGACTGTGGTGGACCTCCGTGTGTCCCTGCTGCTCGCCATTGGGGAGAGGAGGTTCTCGTCGAGGAGAGACACGCCAAGACGGCGGACCTGACCCCTGCGAACAAATGTTGGGTCGGCGGAGTGGTATGGGTGGGCAGATATCTGTGTGGTGGGATGTTTGCGTACTTGTCAGGGGCGATCCATGAGATGACGGAGTTAGGATTGGCAGCAATGATGACCTCAAGTGTCAGTTTGGTCAACTTGCCGCCGAACTGGTCCGCCACCTCGTCTACCACCCTAGACACAACCCGCTCATCGTCTCTGAGACACAACACAAGCACCCATCCAGCTACAGACAGGCAGCTTATCCCTCCCACTCTACTTGGAGAATGACTGGAGCGGCTCCCACTCCTCCCGGTTGAACTTGTAGAGCTCCTTCCAGAAGGACTCGCTCACCACAGACGTCTTCATAGACTGAAATCAATCCACACAAACAGAGATATAGCTCCCGACGCTAATATGTATGTACGCCCATCGATATCTCCCCAAACCTCACTGATGAGAGCCCGGTGGAGCCCATTGTCGGGCTTTTGGCGTCGGGAGACATCTCACCAAACCCAAATTGTCTGACGCCCTTCTTGGCCGCCGATGTTCCTCTCCGCGGCCCAGGCGATGACTGGGTGGTGGCTGGCGTGCCGAGGGACTTAGAGAGGAAGGTGGACCCCTTAAGGTGGCGGTTGTACTCTACCTCGGACGACATCTTGTTAATGAGGTGCACTATCGCCTTGACGTTGCCTCTGTGGTCATGTAAAGGCGCCACCATCGACGCTCTGGCACACAGACACAGACGCACAGAATCACGGAGAGTGTGGGGGGGTGCAGGTGTCATCTAATATATAGGGGGTCATGGGAACCTGGTGGAGATGCCCACAGCGTCGTCGAACTGCTTGTTCTGCATCCGCACTTCAGTGTCGGCTCGCCGGATGATCTTGCGCGACTTGACGGCAGCGGCCAGCAGCGGGTGGGTGCTGAAGGGAAGAGTCATCCCGATCGCACTGCAGACAGATTGACACATGACACATGGCACACAACGAGAGAACGGCGCTGCTTGCCTTTTACTGACCCTTTCGGTCCGAAGTAACATATGAGGGAATCATTTGGGTAATCAATCGCATAGAACGCCACCTGAACAACGCAGGATTGGCGATTGTGTCTCGCCGCGTTTTCTGTCCAGATGTCTGTCTGTCTGTCTGTCTGTCTGTCTGTGTCTCATTCAGTGACCTCTTGTGCCTTGGTGAGGTTGACGAGGAGTACAAGCAGCTTGAAGACGGTGTGCTCGGCGTCGTTGCTTTCGAGGAACACCCGCCGGTGCATGTGAATCATCACCTGCGACTCACGCAACTCCCGCTGCAGCCTCTCCAACTCCAACGCGCGGATCAACAAGCCCTGCAGTCACCGAAAGACACATGCAATGCACAGAAATATCTGCCTCTGCCTGCTGTGTTCACCTGCACGGCCTCTGTGAGTCTGTCCATGAGCACCACGTCGGCCAGTGCGGGAGCGAAGCACAGGACCACACCTAATGGCTTGCCGTGCCTTGGGTCCACCAGCCGCCCCGCCAACACATACACCCGCGGATGGTCGCGGCTGACCTCCCTCTCGAGCGCCTCACCCTCACCCTCACCCTCGCCCTCCGCCTCCTCTTCTCTCTCGCTGGCGTATTCCCTGTTGCCGCCTTCGTCCCACCTGACACGACTGGCGTGCACCGTAGGTGACGTGTTGCGACGATCGCGGGATGGAGTCACAACCCTGACAGTGAGACAGACGGTGAGTTACAGGCTCTGAGTGGTTGTGTTGTCTGCTTACCCCGCTGGTGGCATGGTGGAGAAGTCAGGTACAGACTGCCTCTCTTTGGCGGTGGTCAGGTCGGACTGGGAGTCCTCCTCGGGCACCGTCTTCATCTGGCTCGGTGTGGCGCTCACACACGACATGCGGCGGGAGTGGTACTCGAATCGACCGGAGGCCGCGTCGTACACCTGACAAGGCCATCCATGCCATGCACCCACACGTGATGGATCGATTACACAGGCACACCGCCACGCTGACCTGCAGCGGCACATGACTGGTGGTGGCGCTCGTGGCCCTCGCAGGAGAGGCGGCCGTGAAGTCGGCCATCAGTGACGCAGAGCTTGAAGACGTGACTGAAGAGGGGACGGGCCCCATTGCTGGCGACCGCGACTCGTCTGCCCTGTGTGCGGCCGACAGTTTCTCGATGAGGAAATGCGAAAGAAGGACATCCGGCAGCTCCTCCTCCTGCACCGATGGGGGGTCGTTGAGCACCTCTGTCCACCGGTGCTTGGTGGCGGTGGACGGGGGGGTGGGCTGACCCGTTGGTGGGGTTGTCCACGGCAGCAAAAATTCCACAAACTGACAACGCATGGGCAGCCCTGGTGGACCCTGATATAGATAGCAATTGGTCCCGGCCACGCTTACCCGGGCGCCAGCAGAGTCATTAAGAATCGATCCAGCAAGCCCCTTTGATGACGAAAAATGCAAAATCTGAGAAGAGAAAGGAAACAAGTGAAATACATACGCATGCCCAATCATCGTCTCTGTGTGCCTTCCGCTCGCCTCGTGTGGAATGTCATAAGTCTGTCCGTGACTCTGCGCATGGTCTGGCTGAGATATCGTTGTCCTTTTCCTCTGGCCAGGCGAGCCGCCGTCCCCCTCCTTCGGCGTTGCGGCGCTGGGCGACTTTGGCGCCTTACCCCGCTGCTTGGCATGTTCCTGTGCGAGTCGCGGGAGGTCTATCCATGTGCCCTCCAAGGGGTAAAACCCTATTAGCTCGTCATCCAGATCGCGGGCGAGACATAGCACAACGGGGGAGCCGAACAGCTGCAAATGGCAAGAAATGGACAATCCACAGAATTGGAAGTTGAGACGGGCAGCACGGTTGGCTCACCGTAGAGCAGCAAAAGGAGAAGTGCTGGCAAAACTCGAATGTTGTCATGTGGGTACATTTCGCTGCAGGCACAGCAATCGTCACACACTGAGGGCTGATTGATACTCGGCGTGCTCACCCTCCATGTGCATGTGAATGACATGCGCCTGCTTGACATAGGCGGCCTTGAGGGGCAAAGACGGGATGTCTTGGGAGCTGTGCGGACTCCCCTGAGCTGAACCGACAAGAAACAGACAGATGATATGCAACCAGGAAATGTCGTATGTAATGGGAAGGCATACATACATGGGAAGAGCTCCTCCAAGTGTGCCCGGAACTGTGGCAGAAAAACCAAACCACAGCATATCTCTCATGCCTTCGGCCCGTCCAATTTCCCTCCGTGCAACCGCCTCACGTGCTGTATGTCATCGGCCGATATGCTCGAGCCCTTCCGGACGCGAACATGCTCGCGGCTGGCAGACTGCATCACACACAACACGCACAAGCACACACAAGAGTGCGACTCCCTCCCCGCGGGTAGCTGCCTACCATTGTGCCCGTTTCTTGAGGGCCCTCTTCGTGCGTCCGGCTTCACAGCGCCTGCCTTCCGATCCTCGGTCAAAGCGGGAGCGCTTTCAGTTCTTCCGCTGTTCTTCCCTTCGAGCTCGCAGTCTCGCCCCCACGGCCTACAGAGATCGCAATTGGCAGACTCCCGCCGCCAGCCGCAGTGACCGCAAACCAACAGCATGTACAGCGTATTCACGCAAGAAAGACGGCAGCAGGAGGGAAGAGATACCGCTCGCATCAGGCGCCTCAACTTCCATCAGCCCGCGCACTCACCACACGCAGCGGTTGCATCGCCTGTGATCCATGTCCACCATGACAGCGCAGGCGATTCAGCCAAGGCCGCCAGGTCCATCCGGCGGGTGTCCAGCTGGATATCCACCGCCGTATATGCGAGCGCCGACAGACAAGCGGAAGAAGCGAGAGGTCAACAGGCGACGCACGCACGCGGTGCCCGCTTCTGGCCGGTGAAGAGGTAATATGCATGCATGCTGTCCAGGAAGGTGCATGACGACAGCATTCCACGGTTGCACTGTCTGTTGTCTGTGTGCAGGTACGAGGAAGAGAGAACCCGCATCATCGAGACTCTGGACAGGCAGAGCAGGGAGCTGCCGTCACGAGAACGTAAGAACGCTGTCCGCCCTCGGATCTGACTGATGCTGACATGACCTTCTTGTTGTTGCAGCCTATGCCGGCGGCAACCTTGCGAACGTGCAGCGCGACGTTTGCAAGTCCAAGCACATCGGGGCTACAATCAGGTGAGAGACATGCAGACACGCACACACCTCCTTGTTGCCCGTCGGTCACGATGACAGGCACAAGCCGAAGCTGGAGTCTGCCCGCATCAACGATTCTATCAGCCGGCAAGGCACCTTGTTCGTGTCGCGGCCCCTGCCGGCCCTTCCCCCGTCGTCCCACGACAGCACACTCTTGATGACATCGCAGTCCACATGGCGATTCAGCGGGGGCCCTTCGACAGAGAGGCCATCCACGTACAGACTGATGGTAGGCAAGGCGGCAAGGGAGCCAGGCATACACCAGCCGTGTGTGTGTGTGTGTGTGTGTGTGTGTGTGCGGTAAGGGTGATCCCTATGCGTCGAAGAGCACCTTCTTCCATCCCGCCACCTCCTCCCTGCCGCCGCTGAGCTCCCCCCGTCCGCCGCTCCCCTTCGTCTGCTCAACCGCACGGCTGTCCTCGCCCCTCTCCAGCACCGTGATGGCCATGACCACGTCGTCACTCTGCTGGCCGCCCACTGAGCCATGCAAAGAGGCCGACAGTGTGGAAAAACAGCTTCTGCGAAAGGTGAGGTGCGCGAGAGACAGCACAAGGAGACACGATGGGTGGGTGGTGCATGTTGGTGGGTTGGTGTCTGCACTGCAGGGGTACAGAAAGTACGTCAGGAGGGGCGAGAGGGAGGCAGAGTCACCACCAGGGTAGGTGACATACGAGACAGAGACAGCCAGGCAATCAATCGATGTGCCAAACATGTGTGTGTGAATGTCTGTCAGTCCCGCGTTGGCCACCGCCCAGCCGTTTGTGCAGCTCGACCCCACGAGCCTTTTGGAGAGAAAACCAGACAGAGACAAGCACCTGCACGGCGACTTCAAGACAATCGTGGCCCGACGCAAGACTGACGCACATCTCAAATCGCAGCGCACATCAGCTATCATCGCGAGCAGACCCGCACAGCTCCGCGACAGCCTTCTTGATGAAGAGGACGATCTGCTGGACGTGCTGGACGACGGTTGGGTGGGTGAGAGGGAGAGTGTGCGGGGCCGGGGAGGGCGGGCGCTGTCGATGTCGACGAGCATAACGGGAGGAGGGCTGCCGCCGCATTCAGGCATGACCACCACCAGCATGTCCACCAAATCAAGACGGAGGTGAAGACCGGGGCACAAACACACACAAACACGCACACACACACACAGAGAGAGAGAGAGAGAGAGAGATTCGTGGATGATGTGCTCGTTGGTTGCAGGACTTACTTCAAATCGCTTCAGTCATTCGCCCTCGGTGGCGCCCTGACGCCAGCCAAACCATCGGAGGCGCTTGTAGGCAGCCACGCACCGACAAGGATGCCCTTGTGTCTCTCTGGGCGTATTTCGTCGATGTGTGTGTGTGGTTGCCAGGAGGACTCACAACGGCGAGGTGCAAGGAAGCTTCTGTCTAAACTCACTTCTGCTAGATAGGGGATGACACACGTGTGTGTGTGTGTGTGTATTGCTCCAGCCCATGTAGCCATTGGCGTAGACGTGGTGGTACATGAAGGGACTCATGCAGCCAAGGGGACTCGACTCGTGTGTGTGGAGATCATAGATAGCATTGACCCTATCGCAAATATCAAATCGAAGCTTGGCTTCACACCATTGTGTCTGTGTGGTCGTCGTGTCCCCTACTACGCCATCCATCGCCCATCCATCCCACCACGCCACACACGCACACAAAATCCTTTGCCGGAACGTACACGACTGCACATATGTACACCCACTCACTCACACATCAATATCTTCATCATCCATCCATAGCCATCGACACGCACCAAGGCGGCCACCAGACAGACAGACAGACGGAGGGAGGGAGGGAGGGAGTCGCACAGCACACGAAGAATCCCTCCCTCTTGGAGCTCTTCCTTCCTGACTGCTCTCTTTTTCCACATCTTGCTTGCCGTCAGTCAGTCCAATCACGTGTGTCTCTTTCCACTTGCAGCGCTGCAGCCAGCGACCGGCCTCGCCGTGGTGGCCACAGTGCCATCACATCACCACAGCAAGAAGGATCGATATATGCCGCGTTGAAAGCGAAAAGAGATCACACCAGACAGACCAGACCACAACAGTCAGTACACCCATCAGTGTCCCCTCCTCTCCCCCCGTGTCAGCAAAGGCTCGTTTAGGGACACCAGCTGGTTGCCATCGCAGCTATCGATAATGCCGTCCTCACCCCCCCGCCGCCTCTGCACACCACCCGCCCCGGCCCCCTCGACATCAACACACACCGACATTTGGCCGATGTGGTCGGCAGCCGTGGGGTACTCATCGTTGCACTGCTTGTGTCGGTCTCTGTAGGCGGGGTATGTGACGGCCGCTCGGATGGCCATGGCGGCCACCACCACGCCACACAGCCCGATGCACAGGAAGCCCACATGGAAGCCCACTAAGCCGCTGATCAAGCCGCCGATCAGAGGGGCCAGCAATGTGCCGGTGCAGAAGCCCAGACCTATTTGTTTATTACGCACACACACACAGACACATGGGCGAGAAGCACTGACGCCTGCAGGCAGCGAGGGGGTCTCTCCCTCTCGCCCACCTACCTGTGAGTGCGTATGCCTTGCCGACGATGTCGTTAAGGTTCCTGTCGTTGCAATAGTGCCCCACAAATGCCTGGACGCACGCATCGGCCATCCCCAGCCCGACGCCGCTCACACACAGCCCCACACACTGCACCGCCTCTCTCCCAATGTAAAGCACTCCACAGACAGCCACCGACTGCATCACGATGCCCGCAGCCACCAGCTGCAGCAGCGGCACCCCCAGCCAGTCCGACACAATGGGCGAGAGGAACCCACTGGCCACCTTGACAATCGCCGACGGCAGGAACAGCGCCCCAACGACCTCGGGCGACGTGCCGAAATGTGTGTGCCAGTAGAGGGGCAGCAACGCCTGCAGCGTCAGCGTGGCGCCCCACAGGTAGAGCGTCGCGACAGTAACAGTCATGAAATGGTACTCCATCAGCGGGGCGAACGAGGACGTCGTTGTCTTGGCGCGGCTCGGCTAAGATGGCACTGCATGGCCACTCGTGTCTGCCGTAGATGCCCCGCTGCTGGCTGGCGCGTCGAGAGATGCCGGTGTTACCACGTTAAGAGCAGAGGAAGGGGCCTCTGTCGTGGTGCCGCTGTCGTGTTCTTGCTGTGGCGGCTTCTGGGTCTCATCGGCCGGGAGGAAGGGATGCAGGACGAAGGCACAAATTAGGAGCAAAGAGCTGATGACGATGATTGTCAGGAACACACAGCGGGTCCCGCCGAGAGCAAACAAAACTCCCCCAACAACAGGGCCAATAACTGTGCCCACATCACTCGAATACGCCTGCACGGCCAGAGAAAAGACGAACACACCACTTGCTCCCGAACACACGAGCGCGGTTGTCTGAGCAGTGCACTGCCCACCACTCCGAGAGCCGAGGCGACGATGGCCTTTGGGTGCGTCTTCGCGATGGCCGTGAGCATGAGCGGCCATACAACAGCGGACGAGATTCCGTGAAGTGCCCTGGCCACAAAGTAGCACGGCAAGGAATTCTTGATGGCGAACACAATGCTGCCGGTGAGCAGCACTGCACACACACACACACACACACACACACAGGTGCACGTGTGGCGTGTCTTAGCGCATTCCTGTATCCCTTTTGTGGCTTGCCTGGGTATGGGAACCAGAGCATTGTACGCCATCCGATGTGGTCGATGAGCCAGCCACTAAACGGAGTCAGGATCAGGCTGGTGAGTGGGTGCCCGATGTACACCACACCCTGCACAGACAACACACACAGGCGCACACACACATACACTCACACATTCCCACGACGTGGCCGCGTTAATGCTACGTGTGTGTTTCGTTCACCTGATAGAATGGCGTCAAGTGCAACACTTCAGGTGTGATGGGAATGATGACGGTGTACAAGAGCGTCTCGAAGAATAGGGTGGCCCAGGCGAGCGCCAACAGGCCATAGTGGAAGCCCGAAGGAATGCGAAGGCGAAACAGCGCCATATCCTTGTCACAACTGCAGTCTTCTCGTCATCTCTCAAATATATTATATATAGTTCTGATTCACAGACATTCAGGGTTCAGGGTATAGGGTTTCGAACCCGCTTTACCGCAGCAACTTGGGATGGGAGCCTCAACCAGTACATGCGCGAATAGCACGGCAACACCAAGGACGCCAACGCCATTCCAATTGATTGCGCCGGACGCGCGAAATTAAATTTACGCTGTTTTGTCGTGCAGCTTTCTCCATCGGTATACGTATCTCTGTGTGAGTGAGTATACACATGTTAACGTGTGGGATGCCGACGCTTACGCCGCCAACATGTTCGCCAAGGTGAAGGACGGCCAAGCCACAGGTGAGAGCACCGAGGTCGTCCAGCAACAGATGATGCATCCATCTGATGTCCATCCCACCCATCCGTTTGTTTGTCTGTTTGCTTGTCATTTGTTGCTGCAGGTGGTTTTTCGTTGCTCTCGTCGTCATCTGGTGCGTCGTCGTCTGGCGGCGGGCTGTTCGGCAGCAAACCGTCCTCGCTCTTCGGAAACACAAACAACAGCAGCAGCAAGGCAAACACAGGTCTGCCATGACATGAGAAGCAATGGTCACCACCACACCATCACCGCACTCTTCTCTTCGTTGGTTCATTGGTTGTGTCAGATTCGTCATGTGGCGGCTCAGTTCTCTCTTCTTCGGCCTTCGCAAGAACACCAAAAGAGGTACACACACAGCACCATTGATTACCATCCTCATGTCATCCAGTTGCATCAATGCATGTGGTGCTGCTCGTTCACAGGGCGATACCTCAGGCGGTAACACAGAACAAGAGAGACCTACCTGAGACACAACATGCCTCTGGTTCATTCATTCATTTGTCGGTGTGCGCGTGTGCGTGTTCAGGATTCTTCGCAGCTGGAAGCGGCGGCTCACTCTTCGCAGCCCTCCGCGCCCAGCATCAGCAGCAGCAAGGCCCTTCAGACTCATCATCAGACGCAAATGGTGACCACACCACCAAAGCCTCACATCGCGGCAGTGGTGGTGGTGGAGGGCTGTTCGCGGCGGCGTTCGGAGGGGGGTTCGGCAACTCGAAGCTGTTCAGCGGGGGAGGAGGAGGGGGAGGCGGGATGGTGGGTGAGAGTAAGCAGGCGCTCTTCGGCGGCCAGCGGCAGACGAACACCGGCGACAGCTGTGACAAGGACGACAAGTCGACGTCCGACCAGACCGTGCAGCAGAAGCAGCAGAGCGCGGACGGCCTCTCTGCTCAGAGTGGAGGATCAGGCACGTGGACAGGACAAAACTAGCCCCACACTCATGCACCACCTCCCCTTCTCTCTGTGTGTGCCTTCTTGTCAGGTTTGGCGTTTCTGTCGAGGCCGCCGGCTGCAGTGGACGACGCAACAGACAAACACAATGACGACACACAGAAGAGGTAAATCAAGGCGACATCATACACATTTGTGGAAGTATCCATCTGTCTCCCCTGTTTTCATTTTCAGTATGTTTGCGATGCACGAGGGCGAGTCGGCTGCCGCACACGCCATGACCGACCCCCGCCAAAACCAACATGAGAGACACGATAATGGTAGAATGGAGGCAGAGAGAAAGGCGCCTCGAAGGGTGTTGTGTACCATTTCTGCTGTTTGTGTGTCGCACAGATGCCATAGGTGGTTCTGCTGGCGGCGAAGGTGCGGTGGCTGCGACGGACATGACGACGGATGAGGGCACCAACCAGGAGGACGAAAATAAGGACAAGTCTACGACAGGTCAGCGCACACACACCGAGACACAACACACACACACTCGCCTTGAAACATTGCCTTTGTTCATTGCGCTTCAGACGGTATGGATGTGTGTGCGTTGTCGCCGGCCAAGCGTCCGCTGGGGGATGAGCACCAGCAGGAGAGCGGCGAGCCGCAGATCAAGCGGCCCAAACCACCACCCCGCCCCTCCCCATCCATCAGAGCTGCTGCTGCTGCTGCTGCCGTACACAAGCCGACACCCCACCACCATCTGACCACCGAGGCGACCGGAGCGAGTCATGTGATCGCCCGTCCCAAGGTGCCGCGGAGCTCACCCATCAGACCGCCCAAGACCATACGTCAGCCACCAATGACACCGAAGGAGGAGCCCAGGGATGTGAGTGCATTGTGTGTGTGTGTGTGTGTGTCAGTGTCGGGTGCGCCTGTGATTAATCAGCCCAAGAGGATGCCTAACAAGTTGGGTGCAGCCCCACCCCGACCCAAACACGCACCTGTCGCTAAGACGTAATAACGACACCGCCACATGACATGCATGGCACCCGCATGCACCCTCTCGTGTTTATATGTGCAGTCCCATTGTGCCTCGTCCGACGTCTCTGCTGCTGCCGTCGTCTAACCCTCGCGCGCCATTCCCCCCTCTCCCCGCCCATACCCTCAAGAAGCCCAACACACTGCTCAACGGCGGCAAGGCGCCGCCAGCCATCAATCGCAGCGGCCAGCAGCAGAGGGGCGGGGGTGGCGCGGCCACACCACAGACACCCGACACGCCAGACAAGGCCGTGAGCAGGGTGGGCACGGGTCTGACGATCGGCCGCAATCGCAACGTGTCGTCGGCGTCGCCACTCCCCGCTCCACCGCCCTCACCCAGCCACAACGCAAAGGCAGACACACAAGACAACACACAAAGGGTGACCTCCATGTGTGTGTGTGTGTGTGTGTGCAGCGTAAGGGGCATCCGCATGCATCTGTCGGCTCTGGCGCGGCTGTCCTGTCAGCGCTGCAGAAGGCCATCACTGGCGGGCAGGATGCACACAGTGGTACGAGGGAGACACACAAAGACCACAGACCAGAGACACGTTCGCTCGTGTGTCTGGCTCAGTTGAGGTGAAGGCAGCGAGTGTGGCGGCGAGCGAGCGGTCGTCGGTGCAGGGGAGTCCGCAGCCCGACACACTCTCACACGCCATCGAGAGCTTCACAAACATGCAGAAACAGGTGGGTGACTGACATGCTTTCACAGGAGTGCGTACACATCTTACATCAGCTCAATGCAATGTGTGTGTGCTAGTTGAGTGTGGTGCCTACGAGTGATCGCATCAGCCAGATGGAGCAGCGGGACCAAATACTGCAGAAGACATTCCAGCAATCCACCAACAGGTAAGTAAAGTCACACAGAAGAGCAATCAAGTTAGTTGATCAGGATGCACCCAATTGTGTGTATTGCAGGGAGAACGAGACGATGTGTCAGCTGGGCAAAATCGAAAAGGACATGGCACAACTGCAGGTCACAACCCCACACACGCATACACATCCACCCACAGAGCCGACAAGACGACTGCGTCTCTCTCTGTGTATGTGTATCTAGGAGTTGGCGACGGACCAGATCATGCGTCTGACTTTCATGACGATGGAATTCTTGCTGCTGCGCGACCCCTGCAGCGAAGACATGGCCATCGAGTGCATCCAACAGAGCGACCACCACCACACACACGACACCATCACCATGTGATAACATGACACAATGCGTGACACAAAACCTACAACACATGAGAGAACACCCATAAGCGACACAGACAGACAGACAGACAGACAGAAAGGCTCGAAAGAGTCCAGTGGTGGTGCACGTGGTTGTGAGTGGTTGTGTCTGCGCGTGAGGTGCGTGTGGGTTGGACTGCCAAGGCATCATATCATGCCGAGTGAGAGGACTCTTCAAGGACTCATGGACGTACACGGATGCATGACATGACGTGAATGCGCGTGTGCCTGTGCCTGTTGAAGAGCTTATTTGGGTACGTCGTCAACCTTTCATCATATATATACAGATCGTGTGCACGCGTCGGCAGTATGCTGTGCTGCCATGTGATGTCCCTGTCTGCCAGGGCCCTCTCGTCAACCCACATGCAGGCAACGCGAGAGGCGCCTGGCGGACATCGGATTCACAGCACGCACCACCACCTCAGTGCGTAGCTCAAAGGTAGGTACATCATCAATCTCGGGGTCACAGATACACACGTGCGAGCATTACACAGTCGCACCCATCCCGTCTAGATAGTCTATCTAAGATGGTCAGCGTGCCCCTCTCGCAAGCACCAGCCTGGCCATGAAGGGAGGAATGCGATCAGCGTCCTCGAGACCCTCACCCTGACAACACACGCACGTCATTGACCACACGAGCCGTACGTATCTGAACAGCATGCCCTGCGAAGCTCACCCTCTCATCAAAGTCCGTCCGCACCAGCGCATACCGCCGGCTGCCGTGGCCCTTTGCCAGCGTCATCTGGAACACCGTGCATCGGTTCTCGGTGGTCGAGCGCAATGTGAATGTGCCGATATCGTCATATTGCTGGGGCTGGGGGGGTGGTATCGCTCGAGAGGGGACGGGGGCCACTGGCGATGCGGACGGCGATGGGAGGGGGGGAGGGAGACGGGGCGACGGTGTGGCAGCACCAGGGGAAGAATCTGCCGACATTAATGAAAGAGAGAGGGAGAGAGATCACCATTGGATCGATGCACCGATGCGTGGTCTGACTGTGTCGCTCGAAATCGACTTTCCACCCGAGCAGCGTTTTGATGCCCTCACGATACGCCCTGACGACAACACCAGATCGGACAAGATCGAATCAGATCAAATCTGCCTGTCCGCCCTCTCCATCTCTAGGTTCTCACTGCATGGTGTTCTGGTATTGCGTGTTTCTTCGTTTCTCTTGATCCACTCGTCTGCGACATTCGTCCAGGTCCTCTTTGAGCGACCGCACCTGGTTTGTCAACGACTCCCTCTCCTTCTCCATACGCACCTGCACACACATAGGGTATGACAGGCAAATGGTGCCGCTGTCTGTCTGTCTGTCTGTCGTGTGCGCGTCGCGTACTGTGTCTTTGTTGCCGGAGTGGCCGTCAGTGCCTTTGCTGTGTGGTGCTCGGTCGGGGTCTGGGAAGGAGGGGCTGCCCTTGAGGCGGGAGCGCTCCTCTGCATAAGCTGCATGCGATGGTCGGGCGGCATCGGTGTCGGCCCCTGCCAGTGATCTTGCCTCGCGCAGCTCCTGATGGACGCATGGATAACATTTGCCACGTTTCACCCTGCCTACATCGGTTTCAGTCCTGCACCTGTTGCAGCCGCTTGTTCTCTTGTTCCAACTCGGCGATCCGTGACCTGTCGCGAGCGCTATGCGGGGGCTGACATGAGCGACGGGGAGATGACATGCCAATATGTATGGGCCCACATGTGCCTGCCTTGTGTGGATGGCTCATGCATTACCTGCTGGTCGGCTACGACGCGTGTGCCTCGAGAAGGCGACCTGTCCTTCTGCCTGGCAAACACACACAGATGGACGGACCATTGATTGGACGGTGTCCTGTGTGTGTCGGCAGCTACATGCCTACCGCTGTCTTTGCGTCTGTTTGAGGTCCTCGCGCAGCCTCTGCATCTCACGCTCGTGAGCTGATATATGGACAGATCCAGACAGAGGTCAGTCGAGCATGGAATACCGCCGGATGGATGCTTTCCAAGGCCTTTGCTTTGGTACCTCTTGCCTCCTGCTTGGCGGCCTCCGTGAGGCGCTGCGTGCACACGAACGAAAAGAACAAGAAGATGAAGAACACGACACTTACACTAGGTACCTAGATACCTTTCTGTCCTCCTCGTATCTCTTGGCCTCGGCCTTTCGCTGGTGGATAGATACCAACACAGACAGCACACATAATGACATCATGTGGTCTTCCCGGGTCGGTGTATATCACATCACCGACCGACACACCCTGTCTATCTCTTCTTGCAGCCTGCGGTCGGCGTCCTGAAGCTCAGCGATGCGATCATTTGTCCGACGGTCGTCCGCCGACGGAGCCTGCATGGCATGCATACGCACAAGAACAAACACCTTGGTGTTGATATGATGCAAGTGTGTTGTCAGTCACCTGTTCTAGTTTCTTCTGCAGGTTTGCGTATCTCTGTTTGTGCTCTTCCGCCAGCTCCTTCTCGAGCACCAGCTCCTCAGCCTTGGCGGCACACTCAGACCTGCAGGAAATACATACCCGCCCGCCACAGACCAAACGAACCGCCACGTCACGCGTACTCATGTGGGTGCCTGCCTGTGCATCCGTACTGACTTGGCCTCGTCGTGTTCCTGCTGCAGGAGGTTCATCTGCGCCTCGAGAGAACAACACTCTGCACACACGACAGACACCTCTCACGTTCGCGTGCTGTCGATTGATTGCATCGCTTGGCTGAGTGTTTAGTTACTTGATCTCAGCTGAGTGAGTTCCTTCCTCATGTGGTCGGATTGCTCCTTGGCCCGCTGCTCAGACTCCGCCCGCGCCCTCGCCTCTCGGCTCGTCACATCCTGCCTGCGGACCGGGCACACATTTGGCGATATGATTACACGCAGGAATGGAATGTAGGCTGTGCAGTTGTGTCGTGCATTTGCGTAGCTTACGAGTGCCTGAGCTCCTCTACGAGCGACTCTTGGCGTGACGCATGCTGTTTGACACACAGGCATGGGCAGGTGACCTACGCGCTTACACGTCTGTGTATGAGTGCCGGCTGCCCACCTCTTGCGCCTCCCTGAGGCTGGTCTGCAGCTCCCTCACTCGCCCTTCCAGCTCGTCACACCTCGACTCATATGGACGATGGCGCTCCAACTCGGCCAGCGCATCTGCACAGAGAATGTTGATCAACACAATGCACATACAATACACAGACGGGCGTGCGTACGTACCATCTCTCTCTCTGATGACGTCCTGGTGCCTTCTGCCGTTGCGCTGCATCTGGGCGATTGCATCGCGGGCATCGGCAAGGCTCAGATAAGGAGCTCTCTCGCGCAACTCTGACAGCTGAACACAAGACATCCACACGCACACACACGGGATCATCGTGCTTGTGGAATTCTGCTGTTTGTTGACTACGTCTTGGGAGCTGAATTCATCGACGCAGTTGACAATGTCCTCGAGTGATCGTCGTAGGCTCCTCGTCTCCCATGCGCTCCCAGGCCCGCCAGACGGCGGCCGCATCGCAACAAACAGCGGCAACACACGTGGCAACACAAATTGCTGAGGTGCGATGCTCGCGGCGACCGAGGATTCTTTCAAGTGCTGTATACCATTAAGCCCTAGTACCTCCGCCAAAAGCTTGCAATCATCCCAAGGGCCGTTGAATGACCGTTGGTGCACCGAACTCATGGAGGAGGCCCTAGACGTCCCTCCCTACTCGCCTGATGGTCTCAGGCCTGCAGCGTACTTCTTCAAGTTTCTCGTACGCTCACAGATTCATCCACGCACACGTCTGTCTGTCTGTCTGTCTGTCTGTGTCTGTATGCGCGCACACAGGCCCGTGAGTCCATCCTTGGCAAGGCTGCGGTGGACAGCGCCGCCAAGAGAAAGGCACAGGAGGCAGAGGCGACGGGGCAGATGACACTCACTGGGCTTAAAGGGACCGCTCTGCAGGCCGCTGAAGGACGGGAGGCATGGATCATGGCGAATCGCCTGTAAGGTTCCGAAGGGATGCGCTTATTCTGTATGTATGGTGGCTGTTTTGTTGTGTGGTCAGGTATGTGTGGATTCCCGACACGATAGTGTTCAACGATGTGGGGAGGCAGGGGGGCATGGAGCAGCCGCCGCCGAGATGGTACTACTCCAACACTTCAGGACAGCTCACCTACTCTACCAAAGTCAGCACGTGACACCCAGTTACACAGAGACAGACAGACAGACAGACAGACAGACGGAGAGACAGACGGAGAGACAGACGGAGAGACAGACGGCAGCCTCATAATGATTCTGCCCCTGTGCATGGTCAGTTCAACCTCGAGACGATCCTCAGCAATCTGTCCAGAGGCACTTCGGGGCCCACCGCGCCCATAGCAGTGGTCAAGAAGATCGCCAAGAGCGCCACGACATTCCCCAAGGGTTGTGCGAGCCAGCTGATGACGGTGCACCAGCTGTCCAACTTCCTGCAGGGGGTCAAGGGCGCCACGGACCTCACCATCTGTGTGCAGAAGTTCATACCACCGCACGGCAGGAAAGCCACACTGCTCAGGTAAAAGGGACACAGAGAGGGAGAGGGGCATGACCTCCATGTAAATGAGCGTATCGATTTCTACCGGCCGCTCTCCTTGTTCTATTGTCAGGTGCAACTGGAGACGGGAACTCCCACCACAAGGTCTGTTCTCATCTTGTCTCTTTTCCGCCATCCTCTCCTTGTCCATCTGTCCCAACGATTCAGGCTGGTATCTCACAAATGGCTATTCTCTGAGCGAGCGGCGAGTGCCGCCATCAGCGAGGCTTCTGGTGTCGCTCAATCCCATCAAGGAGGTGGCGCAGAAGACGAGCACAGTAGGGGAGGCCGGGGAGGGTGCGGGGGGTGACGAGAGGAGGAAGGTTGCCGAGAAGAAGGTCGAGGTCACGCCTGCATACACGGCGGCCCTGCAGGAACCTACAAAGATACTCCAGAGTGAGACAGACAGGGAGACAGGGGGAGAGGGTGGAGGGTTTCCGCCACCCTTTCTGTCCCCATATTGTGTGGTGGGTGTCATTACAGGAATTGCTGACTATGTGGGTCGTGTGTGCGGTCTGCGCTTCGATGAGCTCATGGGCGACTTCATCAAAGACAGCGCAAAGCAACTCTGGCTCATACAAGTAACCACACACAAACCCCCCCATTCACACCCACCCAGTCACTCCTCACACTGCCAGGTAAAGGCCTTCCGTCTGGTCGCCTCGCCCTACACCCAGCCGTCCATCGCATGTGAAGACTCGGCCATGCTGGAAGAGGAGGATTATCACGCAGCGGGTGACAGGGAGGGGCGGGAGGGTGGGAGGGGCAAAGGCATTCCTGGCGATCGCAGCGAGCCGTTGCAGTGGCGGTGCGGCTTCTGCAAATGTGAATACAGGCTGGATGTGAGTAGGGCGGGGTGGGAGGGAGGAAGACATGGTCGACGTGTCTTCTCAATGCAATGCAGAAGTTGGCGTATCGGTTGACGCCTTCGATGGTGCTGAGATCGCAGGACCTGCTCAGACACATGGGCAGGTACTGATGTACACGCAGACACCCATAGAGACGCGTACTGTGTGTGTGTGTGTGTGTTGGACGGCATGACATGGCCTGCAGGCCGCTGTCATGGTATGAGGAGGAGCTGCAGTCGGCGTCAAGGCTGTCTGAGAAAGAAATATATCGCATGCAGAGGTGAGGCGTGGCAGGCGCAACACCATATGCATTTCAGCACCTGCTGCCATGTCTGTCTCTCTGAAGGGCGTGTCAGGCGTGTTACCGCCTCCACAGCGCCCTGCAAGTAGCCAACCACCATACCGTCAATCCACTGGCGGGCCCATATGCCTGTCTCCTTTCTGTTGTCCTACAGGAGCTAGAAGAGGTGGAGCTTCTCTTCCACACCCGGCTGGGCCTCCCCATTCCCCGCACCCCGCAGCACAGCGGACCGCCGCCACAACTCTCACCCAGGAGAAGACAACAACATCAGGCAGCCGCAGCCGCACCACAGCAGCCCGGCTCTTCCTGCCTGTCTCTCCCGGCCGCAGTGGCAGTGGGGCCTCTGACGTATACAGAGATCATGGCACACCACCCCGCACTCAGGGGGGGCTGGAGGGATAGAGATCGCGACACCCCACAAGAGATGGATCACGATGCGGACACTGAGGCGGCCCCGGCACGTGCAGTGCACATCCGCACGAGAGAGGACATCGAGGGCGGCGACAGTGTGGCCAAGAGGCAGAGAAGGAAAGACCAGCAGCAGCGGGGTGGCGGGGGTGGTGGGAAGAGGGAGAGGCGTGTCCTGGGGTGGGTAAGCGGGGGGCTCGCCAGGAGCTATAGAGGCTTAGTTGAGGGAAGAGGCAGACACACTCAGATGGTCGGTGAGTGACAGACAACACATACACTAAGCCTGAATATCCGTTTGTGTCTGTGTGCGGGGTATTTCAGCACAGCGACGGTCTGTTTCCCTCGGCGGCCATCTCATCAGGCTGGGAGAAAGACCTCAACCTCCCCGACCTCATCACAGCCACACACGCCGCCACGCAGCCTCACACACAAGCCCCATCGGCAGCAGCAGCAGCAGCGGCGGTAGGCCGGCCATCCTTCTCCCTCTCACCAGGTCTCTCCCCAATGTCGGCAGAAGCCCCCGACTCGCCCAAAGCGCTCATGCGGCGAATGATGAGCGACATGAGACTGGCGAAGGAGAAGGATGGACCCCGGGGCAGTGCCGACAGTGGAGATTCCCGCGTTGCTGATATTGTGGCGGGGGGCCGGAGGGGCAGTGTGGCTGTGGGAGGGGGTGGTGGTGGTGGTGGTGCGCAGCTGATGAGTGTGGTCGTCAACAGGGGCGTGACGAGTGAGGCCGGGTCGACCGCCAGGATGATGATGAGATACAGACTGTTCATTCTCCTGCAGGTACGCATTTATGCATCTGTCTCTCTCTGTCTTTCTATCTACCATTATCTGTGTGTCGTGTCGTGTGTGCCTCAGGAGCTCCGGAGTGTCCCAGCCGAGTACATAGCGACCCTCAAAGCACGACGGCAGTGTACGCTCCAGTTCCGCCTCTTCGGGCTCACACACATCGTCCCCCTCACCCACCATGCCCCCGTCCTACACTCACAGGACCAGCAGCAGACGGACCAAAGACGAGAGGGCGACAAAGAGGGCGAGAAAGAGGGAGGGGGAGAGGGAGAGGGAGAGAGGCGGCGGACCATCGGGCGGTCGGACGTCCTGGGGACACAGCCCGTCAACTGCATGCGGATCGCGTATTTCTTCTCGCAGAATCCGAAGCGGCTGATGACGTTTGTCCATAAGATGAAGAGCCTTAACGTCACTTTCTGCTGGCGCAACCAAAGGTGAGCGTGTGTGTGTGTGTGTGGATGTCGCTCATTCATGTGCTGGCTGATCCGTGTGTCTGTGTGTGTGTGTGTGTGTGTCTGTGTGTGTGTGTGCATTATACAGGCTGGGTACGTGCAGCTTAGCCCTGCAGCCGTGTTGGCGGAAGTCGATCAGCCGGCAGAACATCCTCCACCCCTTCACCGGCACCCCCAGCAACCTCGCCACTCTCCAACTCAAGGTCACCCCCTCCACCAAGCCCATCCACACACAACACAACCATGTCTCCCTCTCCCTCTGTGTGCGTGTGTTGTGTGCAGGCAGTGGTAGGCGCGACGAGTGGTGTGATAGAGAACGTGCAGCCTTTATCAGTGAAGCTCTACCGCGGCGTGTTCGTGCCCTCCCCCTCCTACACCGCCCCCGAGCCGCTGCCGCCCGTCTGGCTGGAGATACTCTCCCAACACACCACCACAACCGCCACAGGCAACAAGAGCAGCGCTGCCGACAGCAGCACCGGCCAACCACAGCAGCAGCAAGACGAAGGTAAAGGAGACAGGGAGGATGAGTACGGTGCGTTTATCAGGCAGGAGAGTGACAGTGATGTTTCTAGTGACGACGGCGATGGGGAAGATGCCGTTTTGACCAGAGGGGAGGGGGAGGGAGAGGGGGATGCTGTGCACATGGCGACGGCCGCGCCTTTGCTGTCGGTGTATGAGAGTCATCCGTACAATAGAGACACGCACATTGAGGCCGGCATGGACCTGTTGAGACATATCGAAGAGACGGGCAAGGGCAGATGATGTGCTGTGTGGCTGATTCTGATGGGTCATGGCCTCTCTCTTTGATGTGACTGATCTGTGCCGATGGATGGATGGATCTATAGATGGACGTTTGCAGCCAGCGGCGATAGGCCGGTGTGTGGCTGATTTGATTGATGGGCAGTGACTCCACCGACCGATCGTTATGAATGTCAACCCATATGGCATATATGTATGATGTCTGTGTCATGAGGACAAAACCTGCACCACGCACACACCCACACATCACATACGCATGGCCAACATCTTGACTCAAGGAGTGATAACCAAGGCAGTCGCTGCCGCGGATACCCAACCATCAATGAGAGCAATCGCAACCAAGACGGAAAAAGTGAGACACACCATACCCAGCAAAACCACCGCTTCTGTTCCGCTCTTCGATTTTTTGGAAGCGACATCGAGCAGGTGTTCTTTTCGCTCCATGATGGCCAGGTAGCGGTGAGCGAAAGGAACTTGAGCAACACTGATGGAGACACATGTGGCCAGGAGCCGTGCGGCGGTCAGACCGGCCAGAAGCATGCCCTTCGTGCTGCTTAGGGCTGTGCCGATCCACACGCCAATCAGCGCCAGCATTAGTCCATAACCCCAGAACTTGGTCCATCTGACCCCAAAAACTCTATCCAGCAGAAGCCTAAAGCCACCTTGGATGAGGTAGCCGCAGACAATCAGCTTGTTGCCAAATTCGGGGAGCTCTTGCCACTGCATAGAATTGGACCGAGAGCCGGGCCCGACCACTGCAGCGATCGCGACTGAAGTGATGACGATGTTGAGGCAAGACAAGGCCGCAAAACATAGGGAATCTCTGAAACATGCCCAGTGGGGCTCTCTCGCACAAAGCCGGTCCTGGGGCGGCTTGCTGACGACACAACGAAGGCGACAGACAGCTGATGCAGCTGATGCTCGTTCGTCAGTCTGTGTGCGCTATTTTGTTGCTTAAGCTCTGCAGTCGGCGCACTGGTAGTGTGCTGCATGAAGCGACAGAGAGAGGAGACACACAAGGAAAGGAAGATTGAGAGAACTATGGGCCAACTCCCCTCACCTGGCAGAAAGTAGGTTGTCAAGTGCCGCTCGACAGCCGGCCGACGCCGCCATACAGCCATCAATGCCAGCAGAGACGAGAACGTAAGCACGATAAAGCCGGTACAGCCCAAGAAAGCAGGTATGACGGCCAATACTCTCGACAAACAACATGCCGCCGCCAAGCTATGCGAAGACTGAAGGAGCCCATACAGCACACACAGCAGCTGGCGACCCGCCTGCTGCAGCACGTTTTGGCCACGCTGCATCGTAAGAAGTCGGCGGCGCATGCTGAAGTGGTCATGCGCCTTCAGGCTGATCGGAAGCAGCACCACAAAGCCGCAGACAAACAAGAGGGCAAACTCAGGGTCCCTCCAGGCCGATCCATCGGCTCCCAAGCAAAATGCCAGCGACAGCAGCAGAAGGACGCCCCAACGCAGCTGTCGGCCGCTGACACACTGGGGATGTTTAGCAACCAGACACTCCAACAGATAGGAACTCAGGTATATCAACGCTGGGCCGGGGAAGTACGTGGAGATCTCCACATCATCGGCGGCCCAGCGTGAGAATGAGAACGACAACAACGGCCTGAGTTTGGGAATGGCAGAGCCCCACAGTACTCTCCACCACAGGGCCACGAATGGCACAACCCATAGGCAAAGCATCTGGCAAAGGGCGTCCCAGCGGGTTGTTGTTCGCCCCTGGGGAGTACCGCCCAGCCAGGACTCGTCGTGCTCACTGCCACGACCCACAAACAGTGCAGGTAGAGTCGTCTGTCCCCGTGGTTCAGTTGGTGGCCTCACTTACCTCTGGCAGATCTCACAGCTGGTCGGCCGCTGACCTGCACAGACCAGCAAAGCCATCCATTCCACACCATGGGCATCTACTCTACACATCTTGCCCGTTGTCTGCAGCCTCTGCTGCCGAAATGCCTCCAAACAGCCCGTGTGGACAAAACCTGCACGTGACAGGGATGGAAACGCCCAATGGCATGCATTAGGTGATCATATGAGATCAGGCAGGCAACCTTACGCACGGTGCCGCGACAGCTGCAGGGCGAAACCAGGAGGCCTGTTTCGGTGGACTCCTCCCTATCGCCACAGATGCGGCACGCGTCATCAAATCCGGGATGCATCAAACAGCTGTTTCTGGGATTCTAGATCTCTTTCTGGCCAGGGCCAGGAGACGGCCCGCTTCTTTCTGATCTCGCCCATCGTCCTTTCCCCGTGTGTTGTGGCGTTTTAGCTCCAGCTACCGTTTGTGAACAACTGTCTCACAGTACGTCATGCACATCACCGGTCCTCTTTGTCCGTCTCGACGATGCCGCCCCTTTGCCCTTTCCTTTGCCTTTGCCCTTGCCTTTGCCTTTGCCTTTGCCTTTGCCCTTGTCCTTGCCCTTGTTTGTGCTCCTCTTGCTGCTGCTGGCCTTGTCTGTGCTGTTCTCGTCATGGGTCACAATCACCTCTACACCCTCGTTGTCAACCACCTCGTCCTCAACGTCACTGTCTGTGTCTGACTGTGTGGCCGACGGGGGGATCAAGTCGTCCTGCTCGGCCTCCGGCACCACCGACACGCTCTGCACCTCATCTCCATCAGGCAGGCGCTGCACCAACACACCCGTCGCCGTCCGGCCCTGGTGGCAAACACACACACCATCGGGAAGCTCTGTGTTGTTGGTCGTTCTGGTGTGCCCATCTGAGTCACCTGCAGTGAGATCTCTCCGGCCTTCTGTCTGAGCACGGTGCCGCCGGCGGTTGAGAGCATGATCTCGTCGTTCAGGCGGCACACCCGCATACACGACACAGCGTCGCCGCCTAGCTTCTTCTTCTCGGCCGATGACGCCTTGTTGCCGCTGGTGTTGCCGCCATTGCCCTTTCCCTGAGGCTTGAACTTGGTGGCGATCACACCGAGGCCTCCGCGAGACTGCAGACGGAAGTGCGACGGCTTGATGCGCTTGCCTGACACACATGGACACGACACACAGATATAGGGAGAGAGTGTGGTGTGAACGGGCTGGAGTGGGTGGGGCTGGACTGTGTACCACAGCCGTTTTCGGTGACGGCGAGAAGGAAGAATTTGTTGGCGCCCTTGCCGTCGTCGTCCTCGTTGCCCGGCAGGATGTCAAGGTCGGCCACCTGGTCACCATCCCTACACACACGCATGCACACACAAGCCAGCCATTCATTGTGAGGATGGTCATGTCCTGCATTCAAACACGCACCCCTGCCCTGCAAAGACCTGATTTTGAGCGATTTGACCCCTCTGGATGTGCGCGAGGTCGGTCGAAGCTGCTCGCCATCGGTGCGGAAGCGGATCGCATAACCGCCACGAGTTGCTGCCAGCAGCACACACACAGCACGACATACACAAGTAGAATGGGCACCCATTGCCCCACTGCATGTGTGCGCACCAATGATGACGGAGTCGTCGTCAGTGCACCGCCGCACGAAGCGCAGTACGTCATCTGGCTCGAGGGCGATGAGTGTGAGCCCCCTGTTGGAGACGTTGGCGAAGGCCGCCAGAGGGGTCTTCTTGATCCAGCCCTTCTTGGTCAGCAACACCAGGTACTCATCCTCCTGACATGTGCATGTGACCAACACACACACACACACGCGACAAGCCATCCGTCCATCCCTCTCTCTATCTCTCTCTGTGGGTGTGTCTGTGTCTGTGTGGGGGGGGGGGGGGGG